ATTTAAGTGCTATTAAATTAGCTGAAGCAAAAATATTTTACTTCTCTCAAAAATTTGAACTATTTATTATAGTTTTCTCTTAATACAAATCTGAATATCGCGTTATCTTATGGTTCGCTAACACTTCCGAGGATGACGTCAGAAACCTACTGAGAAGCCTGACTCTCAGTGGTTATGGTTGAACTCGGCTAAAGGGTGGTGACACATTATTTCCGATATATTTTTTTATCGACTAAAAGCCAAGTCAATTAGTAATAGTTCAAAAGTTATAAAATTTTTTATGGATAGAAAGTTCGTTACTTATGCATATTAACGCGTTAGACATTGCTGTATAGACAAGCAATACATTTGATCATAGTCATTTGTTTACTCTAAATCAAAAGAAAATTAATGGAATTAATGATTTTAAAGAGTTGAAATAATTTAATGTATAAAATGTAAAGTTTTTGACCCATTTACGCATATACATTTACAATTAGGTGGCAAACTGGGACCTTAAATGCATATTAAGGTCCCAGTTTTTGCCACTGCATTTATGTATTTATGTCAAAAAGTATAATGCATTTACGTCAAAAAGCATTTATGTCAAAAATGCATTTATGTCAATAATGCATTTATGGTATAATGCATTTATGTCAAAAAGGTAAACAGGTATAGGTTAAAAGTTATAATGTTTTAAATAAAATTTCAATTACTTCTATCAATTCTTTCAATCTTAACTTGATTCAGTATACAAGGGGAAAGTTAATGTGTTGAAAATCAGGCATTTCTGAAACTGTTAATAGATTTTGCTCTCTTTTGATTAATTCTCGAAATCCATAGGATCTAAAATTTGGACCTACAACATGATGTTGTACCTTGGGATACTTTGTAAGGTTGTAAAGAATAATTTATTACTCCCTTATAAAATAAAATACTTCTAATTTTAAAGTGTTTATAGATTCTTTAAATTGTATGCAGTAAGACATAACTTACATTTTTAGTTTTTGTTTTCAAACTGTCCCAAGGTCTTTCCCTAATGCAAAAGCCTTTTGCAGGAATTTGATATGAAAAGTTGTATTAGTGGAATTAGTCTAAATCGTTTAGGTCTTCTAAGGTTTTCACATATTGAATGGTGAAGCTCTCAGAAGCTCTCACTGAAGACAGCATATATAACAAGTGGTAACTATTTTATCATGAAATATTGTGAAAAATCAAGTTTTAAAAGACATTAATTTTTAAAATACAGACGTCCGGTCTAAGCTGAATACACATTTTGAGCCATTCTAAATATGTTTCGGTAGTTATTATTTAACTCATGAAGAAAACCAAAATTAGTTTTACACGGTAACTACATTCCAGGAAAAACTGGCAGAGAAGGAAACAAAATGTTTTGACCAATCACTAAAAATATTAGTAAATTAAATATCTGTGACACAACTTAATTCCTAAAATGGACGTCCAATTAAAGTAGATAAAATTTACGATAAAACATTTGTCACCACTTTTTTAATTTTTGTAGATCATTGTTACCATTTTTAATATTTTTTTGTGCAGCTTGCAACTCTTCTGTGGATTAATTAAGGATCTGCAGTAATCTGTTAAAAAAGTGCCTGCAGTAATCTCTTTAAAATGTATCTGCAGTAAGAGTTCCAATTTAAAAAAAACTATAAAAAAAAAACTATCTGCTAGGATACTTTTAAGGCGAAGGAAAGAAACTAGATCATTTATGATATTTGAGACTACCATTATAAAGACGCGTGCAGGGATACCAACTGCTCCGCTCTCTGCAAAAGGTCTAATAAATTGATACCGAATTAAATAGTAGAATAAGGATAATTACATCTACATTTTAAATGCGTCACCATGAGATAATTGCTATAAAATTACATTTTATATGACACTTCGAATTGTCGATATGTAGTGGCGGAAAAATCACTTAAAATGAAAAATATTAAGCTAAAAATAACGTAAATTTCGTTACCACGCGAAAGTATTTTTATTACTAAGTGGAGCAAGTTGGCATCTTTGGTAATGTTGTTTCTAGCTGTTGGAAACAACATACACTACAAACTCTGTATTCAATATCAAACTGTACATTCAAATCAATTTTAAAGTATTCATACATCTGTAAATGTTTTTTAATTTAATATTTATTCGATATTTTGGTTATTTTCTTTAAAGATACAATTGTTTGAATAGCTCAATTAATTGTGGAAACACTTCTATACTAATTCTATGTAAACAATATTTTTTTTCACAGCAAATGTTTTGGAAACTTTAACATGGCAAAACTGTTGGCACAGTCTGAAATATCATGCTTGAAGTTTCAGAAATGATGTCATTTTTACCTATACAAGATTTGGATCGACCAAAATGAAAAGAGGAAGTTAATAACTTCTTCCTAGTTTTAATACCAGCAATTTTGAAATTTTTCTATGAAATTGCAACTTTTATGTTAGAATACTTTTTAAATTATTCAAGCATGATCTTTCATGTTGTGCTAACAGTTTTGCCTTGCAAAATCTTCCAAAACATTCGCTGAGAAACGGCAGATTGTTTACATAAAGTTAATATAGAAATGTTTCCATGTTTTTCTCCAACCCTTGTATGTAGTCATAATTATGTAGGAAAACAAGTAGAGATATTCGAAAATGCATTGGGGAAAAATTTTCCCGTTTTAGGAGGAAGATTTTTCTGAAATATTCCAAGTGCTAACAAAATTTTTAATAGAACATTTTTTTGTTTTGTTTAATAAATTAGATTTTAAATATTTTGATAATAATCTATACAAATAAGTTAAACATTTATATAAATAGCTGCTAACTTGTATGGTGTTTTGAAAAGATATTGCAAAGTGACATTACTTAAGGCAAAGGTCGCCAAAGTGGTCTATATAGACCCCCAGGGGTCTATTTAACAAAAGTGGGGGTCGATCCGAATCGAAAGGGTAGATTGGGGGTCGAAGAAAAAACAGTTCTTAATACGCAAATTACACATACTTAATTAAGTTTGTGAAATTTTTTATAATTGACTTAATATCAATTTCTTTATAGAACATAAATTAATAAACGTATATTTATTGGGGTGAAACAAGTATTTACGTATTTAAAATTGCAAGTTCTCTATTCAACTTGATGAATCTGTTTTTGGCGTTTCTGCTATTCTTATGATGTATGTTAAATATTTCAGTAAAATTAAAGGACAAGTCATTGATGAATTTTTATTTGCTAAATATTTTGAAACTGATGGAGAAGGAGAGACAATTTTTAGATGTTTACAAGAGTATTTAAATAAATTAATAAATATGATATTCCGCTTGAAAATATAATAGCGGTAGCCACAGGTGGTACATTTCTCAAAGAAAAAGTGCCCGGTATACGTACTGTTCATTGTGTGTTGCATAGGAACAACTTAGTAGCAAAATATTTGAGTCCGGAGTTACCTAAAGCTTTACAGTTTTGTGTTAAGTGTATCAATAAAATTAAAGCCCAACCTCTTAAATCAAGAATATTTTCCAAACTTTGTGTAGAAAACGGCGAGCTATTTAACCAAATACTTCTGCACACCGAAGTTATATGGTTGTCTAGAGGTGCATACTTGCAAAGGCTCGTTGAGTTATTTGACTCCACGACCGAATTTCTCAGCGAAATAAACCCTGTTCTGAGAGATGAACTCCAAAACAATATGAACCATATTTTTTATTTAGCGGACTTATTTGGAAAATTTAATGATGTCCAAGCAAAGCTGCAAGGAAAAGATGTAACAATTATCGAAGCTCGAACAATACTGTTAGGCTTCCAAGTAAAATTAAATTTATTTAGATCTTCATTGCTACGTAAGGATTATCAGTATTTCTCAAATCTGCGACAGATGGAATAAAAGAAGAAGACTTGGAAATATATGCAGATCATCTTCAAAAATTGAGCGACGATTTTAAACTGCGCTTTGTTGATTTGGAAAGCATTGACATCCCTGATTTGATTATTGCGCTATTTTCTGCTCAAATTGAAAACGTAGACATCAACCTACAAGATGAGTTTGCTGAATTATTATCGGATCTTGAAGCAAAGACGCTTCTTAAAATTTTAACAATAAGCAAATTTTGGACAAATATAAATATAATGCGAAAATATGTAAAACTTTACGAAATAGCTCAGCCATATATGCTAGCATTTCCAAGTTCCTATATGGTTGAAGCCGGTTTCAGTCACGTAAATTCAATCTTAACTATGTACAGAAATAAATTAAATGTGGAGTTTCGAGGGGATTTAAGATTAAAATTGACCAATTTTGAACCCAATATAGCGAAGCTTGCAAAAAAACGCCAGGCACACCCATCTCATTGATCAAGAAGCAGTAAATCTTTAGTTACTTTACTTAGTATATCTACTTATGCATAATTACTTATTATTTAATAATAAGGTATTTAAATTTCAATATTAATATATTTTTCATAAAACTATTGTTACACAATGTACTATTACTTTAATAAATGTTTAAAATCATAAAATAAATGAACAAACACAGTATCTAATAGAGTTTTACTTTAATTAACAGAAAATTACTTTTTATGGGGGTCGATGGAGATTTCGAAAAATTATATAGGGGTCGATGATCAAAAAAGTTTGGTGACCTATGACTTAAGGTATTAAGAATTTTCTGAAAATAAAGTTATTCTGCTACATTATTGCCTAGCTAATTTATCAATTATACTTATGTATGAACTATAGATTGATCTTGATGGGTAAAATAATTTAAAATTTAGCCTTACAAATCAAAACTTAAATGGTTCTACGAGAAAAACGTTTTTCATTACTGTCTTTCAATTTATTTTCTAATACCGTGCATACCTACCAGGTATTTTAACCATTTGACTGAATTATTTATAGGCCTGCAAATTAAAGTCCTGGTAAATCTAATTTAGTGAACCAAGTATTGAAGTATAAATCATGTTATCATTGGAAAATATATTTTAGCTGATAAAATTTTAAATATGGTAGGAATTAAAAAATACTTACCGAATTGTATTTGGTCTTAGCCATGGAGGACTGCGAATTATAGGTGTACGAGTTGTTTTGAATTGTGTTGTTGATAAGGCGGTAGTACTTCTGTCATTTTCAGCTACTCCAGCTCGAGTAACTTGAATGGGTGGTAACAAATTTGGAGGATAATTTGGGTGATTAATTGGATTCACTGCCCCGACATACGGACGAACTTCTTCAATATCCACGGGAATTACTATTGGACGACCGAGAAATGTTCCAGAAGCAGTCTTTGGTGATGTTGCTGTTAATTGGATACTAGACTCTTTTTCATATTCATATTTAGCAAAAGATCTTTTAATATTGGATGAAATTTCAGTTTTTGCTTTGCTTAAATGATTGGAAAACAAGCTTTCGTCAACAATTACATTTGGCAAACTTGGAGTTGTTTTGAAGGCAAAAGTTTCTGGTAAAATTAAGTTACTTTCAGCTGGTGTAATTATACTGGATGAATAGATTTCTTTGGGTTGTGAAATTGAAACAATTTTTTCTAGTGTATTTTGTTTATTAGTAGATTGAGAGGAGGAAAAAAGTTTTGATTGAGGTAATTGTGTACTTGTTGAAGGAGGATTGGCTCTTTCAACGTCTGATATTTTTGTCGGAAAAGGTATCTTATTTAAAGAGATTGTTGAAGGAGGATTGGCTCTTTCAACGTCTGATATTTTTGTCGGAAAAGGTATTTTATTTAAAGGGATTGTTGAAGGAGAATTGGCTCTTTCAACGTCTGATATTTTTGTAGGAAAAGGCATCTTATTTAAAGAGTTACCTACGGTTATATCAAAAATTATTGGTTTAGTGATAATTGATATCTCATCGTTAAATTTAGATTTGACTGTAGGCCTTTCAAAAACAGGGACCCAATCAGTAATAGGACCAAATGGAACATGCATTGTTGATGAATGAGATAGGTTAGAATCTTTCAGTTTAACAGAAGGAACTTTGCTGCGTAATTTTTGATTGTTGTTTAAACTTGCATCAAGAAGTACTTCAAATGTATTATTTGGTTTAATACTTGTCATTTTAATTGGTTGAGGCTTAGAGGGAGATACAATAACGGAAGAACCGTCCGAAAATATGAAATATGTTTTTTCAACTCCGGTATCTTGTGTCTTCCCTATATTATCTGGTCTCTTAGGAACTGAGGGTGCTTCATTGTGCGTAAAAATTTCCCCCGCAAAATGTTGCGGAGCAAGTTGTACATTATTTCCACTGGATTGATGAATATGAATTGATGGAACATTTGATGGTAGTTTTTCCCGAATTTTCGCTGGTTCATTTCTTAAAGATTGACTTTGCTTATTTATAAGGCGAGTTGGTTTTGATCCGTAAGTTGTTGAGGGTCGAATAGGCTTTGTGGGAATTGGATTTTTAGGTTGTGAAAATACAACAACTGTTCGGCTACTAGAACTTAACGGTCCTCTGTTGTTGATACGAGTTGGTGGAAGAAACTTTTGGTTTGTTGGGAAATTATTCGGTCGAGAAAGCTGTACATTTCCAGCAAGTAAATGAATTATACCACTTAATATATCTCCGAATTGAGGATCTTCATTCCTAGAAGATTTGTTCTTTTTTGAATTATCAATAATTTCATGAGGAATATTTAAACTTTCGTCAAAATTATCACTTCTTTCAAGTATCTTATCAATTTCTAAGTTAGTTTCTGTTTTAGCAGGATCTATTGTAGGCATTTGAGACTTATCCATTGTTGGTTTCAGAGTTTCACTTAAAATTATGTAAGATGAAGCTACAATGTTGCCAGATGTTAAATTTTCAATGTAAGTAAAAGAATCTGTTTTAGAAGTATAATTTATTGCCGATAAGACATTCGAACTCAAAACATAAATCGGTGTGATAAATGATTTATAATTTACTGTTTCATTTAAAACTTGAAAAAACGATGTCGGAATAGTAAGAATAAGGCTTTCAGCGTGAGGTGGGTAACTATATTCGAAAAAAGATTCCGTTGCTTCAGATGAATTGATATTGAAAATACTATTTTCATTAACTATATTTGGTGTAGCGTTTTCAATATTGAGTTCAAAATACTCTTTTTTAATGAAATCTTTAAATAAATTAGATGAATCTTCTAGTAAAATTGATGATTGATTTTGAGTGATTGATGATTGATATGGATATAAATAAGATGAAGGAATCATTTTTGTGGAAATTACTTCTTCCTGACTATTAGTTTCCATAATATGTAAATTTTTAAAACTTTGTAAAGAAGTGAGGGAAGTACTCGGCAGATGAGGCGTTTGTAAGTCATCAGAGAAAAAATGAATATCATCTGAAGAAGGATAAATGATTGTTTGATGAGATGGCATCAGTGATGAGTCTGTTAAAACTTCTTTCCTTGGTTCATGATATGGGCTGGAAGTGCTTCCTGTAAGGAAAAAAAGACAATTTTTAATCTTTAGAAGAAAAAAAAAATTTGTTTTTCATTAAGAGCCGTGGCATCTGCTCCTACTGACTTACTTTTTTTTAGTACATCAGAAAGCCTCCACACGGTATTTTATAAATAGTCTGCGCAGATTATTTAAAAAAAAGTAAACCAGTTGTGCGCATGGACCTAAATTCTATTTTAAAAGTACTCATACTCTCATATGCGGTGGTTATCTTAGCATCAGCCGCGCCAGGTGCTCTAACTAATTCATCTGAGTGGGAATAAATAATAAATCCCAGAAGAGCAAATGAGTGGTGAAAGTTGCATTTTAAAAGTAATTTAGAGAAATTTATCATATATATTTGAGAATTGAATCTGTAGTGGTTCACAAGTGAATAAGACAAACCAATCATATTCATAAAATAAACAAATTTTTGGACATATATTTGCTACCACTTTCGTGTTTTTACCAGTTTTTGTATTAAATGACTCTTTCATAACATGGTTTGCTTTAATAGGGGTTTGATTGGACTACCTATAAGAAACCATGCAGAGGCTTACAGTTGCAGGAGGCGTTGACGTGATGCCCCTGGAGATAGATCGCTCACCTCCCAATGAGGTGACTTACCGTTCGATACTAATTCCCACCCGACTCAAACCAACCACAATACTGATATATAATATTCTCAGTGGTAGACGGATCAGGGGTTAGAGTTGCTTAGCCGTCGAGCTAACCGCAGGAGGTTTTCGTGATTTTTTCTCTCCATGTAACGCAACTGTGGGTTTGTTCCGTCAAAAAGTCTTCCACTTCGGCAAATTTCACCCAATATTTGATCCAGGATTTCTCTTGCCTTCTGGGTTCAAAATTGCGAGGTTCCGAAGTTGAAGATTGATACTAGTTGACTCTGAAATGGGTCGGCTGTTCAACTCCGGTTGTGAAATAAAATAATTTCGTTTGATTTCTATTTGCTAACAATCTAAACATTCAACCATACCCTCCAACATTTGCTGCTTTTACGAAGTTATTTTTTTCGTAGTAGTGATTAAGAGCAGAAATTTTTTAAGCAGATAAAATGTTTATACTGGGCATGCGTAGAAAAAAAAATTTTTTTTTTCCCCATAATTTTGTAGTGAATCGTGTTTGGCATCTTAAGTCCGAAAGTCCGATTGTAATTTCTTAAGAATTTAAAAAGTTGTTAAGAAGAAAAGTAGTAAGGAAAGTAGAAAGTAGTTTTCGTACTTTTTAAAAGAAAGCTCGAAATAGTAAGGTGTTTATTACAAATATTATTTTGTATCATAAGACAAAATTTAATAACAAATGATAATGCCTTACAATAAACATTCATACATCACATTAAAATGTGATGTATTAATAACAGAAAACAGGAGAAAGAAAAGAAATTTTTATGGAGGATAATCCCCAACAATATTGGTGTCATTTTCAATACATTTTGTTTAATAGTACAAAATGAAATAGGTGGAATACGCCTTATCATTTTGAACTTTCTTCTTGAAAAGTACAAAAACTATTTAGAAAATTGCTTGAAATTTTTAAATTTTTAGGATATTCAAATGTTAATTTTTTTATTAGTTGCCAATTACGATTCAATAAAAAATTAAGAAAGTTTTTGTGCAAACTTTTCCCTCGCGCATGCGCAGTACAAAAGAACTACTTTAATTTCACATATCTTGCGAAGTTTTAAACGAAGTTTTTAAAAATATTCAATCAATAATTTTGAAATTAAATTTACATTGCTTCAAAAGTTTGTTTATTTTTATTGAATATTTGTAAAGTTATAGCAAAAAACGTAAGACAATAAAATTAGCATAAAAATGTCCATACCTCTACAAATATTTAAGTTAGGCTTACTAAATTTTGTTTAATTATTGCATACAATAACCAAAACAACTGTCAAAAGTTACTGATCTTTTGCTACAGTTTTTCGAATAGGGTGCTCAAAAATATTATTTTTCGTTTGTAATTTATTGTCGATCCGTCAAACCTCGAAAAGCTTTTAACTTCATAGATATGCATGAGAAATCATTTGATCTAAAAACTTCTGAAGTTATAAAATGATTATCTTATTATTTCCGGAGAAACATGAAAAAAAGTATTAATAAAGAAGTATTTCCATTATTTTGTATATTCATAGTGAGTTCAAAAAAATATCCATTATTGTTGGACTATACATCTTACCAATGAAATTAAATTCCCAGCAAATCTAAGCTGATTTGTTTGTCTTTAACTGAAATAAAAATTGTTTATAAACGTATGTATAAAAAAAGCTGTTGAATTTCTTCATTATTTTTTGTTTTGAATAAGCATTAATAAATTTATAATTTTTAATTTTTATTATAATAAATTATATAATAAAAATTATATTATAATTTTTTTGCAAGGGAGAAAAAATGAAGTGTTTGGAATTGTACTCGATTTAATACGTTGAACTTACTATGATTGTTATTATTAGCTCATCAACAATAAAAACTGCGGTCAGATATCATTTGATATTTTTAGAAAATGTTTTAAGCTTTATTATAAAGACAGTATTGTGATATTTTATGTTAAATTTTTGTGAATCCGTTTAATCTCTGCTGCTAATTATCAATTTTGATATTTTATACTTAGAAATTGTATTTAGTATTTTTTTTCAACAGAAATAGTTTATGAATAAGTTGATTTTAATTTATTAAATATTGTTATTGTGTCTCATAAGCATACAACGGGACAGAATGCAAGTGTTATTTAAAATCTTTTTAATCTATTTTTATAATTTAAATTATTGATAAAAGTTCCGTACTCAAAGATTTAGAAGTCTACTCTCTCTATTTGTTTGATAAGCTTGACTTGCGGTAAGCAGGCATCTAATAGTTGTATTACCTATGCTAGACATAGCATTAATCAGCATTGTTTATTATTTTCAGATACCTAAGTTTGCGATTCCTGTGCAGTTCATCCTGTATAACTTTCAACAGTGAAAGGATATAATTAGATGATGCGTAATTGTTGGTGACAACAATGAGTGAACTGTCCTCATGGATATAACTATGAGGTGCAAAATAACTCAGTGTGGATTTAGTATTCTAAAAGGAACCAAGATAGCAGCTCCGAGAGTAGGTGAGAGGTTGAGGCCCTCTAGTATGTATAGAATAAGTTACATTCTAAGTAAACTAGCTAGCATTCAACTTTAAAGACAGGTCTTTTATGTAAAAGGGGAAATAGTTAAGCTAATGTTAATTTTTAACATCCAAGTTAATCCACCATGCGAAAAATTCTTCCCTTTTTGCCATTCGTTTGCTTAAGACAATATTTCTAGATATCTGTAGCACAAAGATTCAACGATGCCAAGGAAGAGCTTAAAACTAGTTTATTTTAAAATACAATTTGATATAAACTTGTTGCAAAAAAAAAAAAAAAAAAATCAACAGTTGCCGATCAACAGTCCGAAACCTATTAAAAACCCTTTAAATTCTTAAAGTATGTTCTCTAGTACACTGTCCGGGAGTTACTTAAGAGGACGCCATACGGCGGGAGAAACTTTTTGTCACAAATTATCTTTCTCCTTCATTAATAACTTAAAAGAGAGAAAAAAATTATGACAAACCTAGAGTAAGTCATAAAGTTTTAATTGCAGAAAAAAATACTTCAAAATATTAAAATGCAAGAAAATTATTAGAAAAGAACTTCTCCGTTGCGTAATCCTAAGTCATCATAATTTATTTTTATTTATATACAGTCAAACCCTGCTATAGTGAACACTGTTTATAATGAACTCCCGAATATAGTGAACGAATGTTCCGTCCCGTGCCTTGCTATACACGTATAATGTTATTTTTTGTGGATATAGTGAACTAAAAAAGTGAGGAAGTTGGATATAATGAACTTTTTTCTGTCTTCGAGTGAATTTTTTCTTCATATTTTAAAAATAATTTTGAAATGTGTACTTCAAAATAAATACTTATACTGATTTTTAAGACCATCCATAGGAGTGGAATGTAGCGATAAGCATTTTTTCTGGTTTTCTTCTTTTATCTCACTTTTCCATCCCTAAGCAAAGGCCAACCCAGGCAGATGTATGGACAAATTTTTCCCTGCATCAGCTAAAGATTACTAATTTTTTTTTGTATCCAAGACGAACAGTAATAAAAAATAAAAGCAAGCTAACACTTTTTTTGTTACTACGTATTATTTTTCAGTCATTTCATTATATTGATCATTTATTTAAATAATGTATAATAAAAAGAAGGAGTTCGGAACCATTAGTTAAAATTGTTTGCAGAACGGATATAGTGAACTCCCGGTTATAGTGGGCCGAAATTTCAGTCCCTCGAAGGTTCGCTATAGCGGGGTTTGACTGTATTTTAAAATTTTCTTTTCAGTATTTGAAACTTCAAGGCTTACTCTAAGTTTGTCTGAACTCACTTTTTCTACACTTTGAATTTTAAATTAGTAATGAAGGAGAATGAGAATTTCAGTCACTTGAAGGTTCGCTATAGCGGGGTTTGACTGTATTTTAAAATTTTCTTTTCAGTATTTGAAACTTCAAGGCTTACTCTAAGTTTATCTGAACTCACTTTCTCCACACTTTAAATTTTAAATTAGTAATGAAGGAGAATGAGAATTTCAGTCCCTTGAAGGTTCGCTATAGCGGGGTTTGACTGTATTTTAAAATTTTCTTTTCAATATTTGAAACTTCAAGGCTTACTCTAAGTTCGTCTGAACTCACTTTTTCTACACTTTGAATTTTAAATTAGTAATGAAGGAGAATGAGAATTTCAGTCCCTTGAAGGCTCGCTATAGCGGGGTTTGACTATATTTTAAAATTTTCTTTTCAGTATTTGAAACTTCAAGGCTTACTCTAAGTTTGTCTGAACTCACTTTCTCTACACTTTAAATTTTAAATTAGTAATGAAAGAGAATGAGAATTTCAGTCCCTTGAAGGTTCGCTATAGCGGGGTTTGACTGTATTTTAAAATTTTCTTTTCAGTATTTGAAACTT